ATCCGTCTTTCGCTGCACTCATTGCAGGACCGCCTCTATCACTTCTGTACCTAATCTACAGCTCGCTCGCTAGGCAACAGAACTGCCTTTTTTGTAAAGTTGCAAACAAGCACACACCTTTGGGACATTGTAAATGAAAGACTGGTCGGAGCGGAGAGGCCAGTATCGAGTAACCCGAAGAAGTTGGCGACGTGGTTGAGCACATGGCACATTCGCTGGCTGAAAGCACACACTAAAAGATGCAGTAGAAAAACAGCATAACAGTTTTCACAGGCATGGACTAAGCAAAACAGTTTTCGCAGGCATGGATTAAGGAAATGACTGCGCGCCCAAAAACCATAACACAATGTTCAAGGTTGTTCGAAGAGCTCAATCGTACATAGACAACCGTATCCAAATAGAGGAGACGGAAAACATAAAAGACAGAACACGCAGGGAGACGGGCAAGAGAACCGTAAATTGCCGCTTCGTCGCGCGCGGCAGTGGGCGCGACGTTTCCTTAATTTGCACTTTCGATTGGAGCATCGGATTTCATGTAGACAAGGACATGGTAGACACTTATGTCTATTTTTGGTCATACATTGTCAATTCTCGACCATACCATCTAAAATCGTCGTCATTAGCGGATGCGATGTCGCACGCGACGTCCCACTGGCGCGGCGAATTACGATTCTTTTGTCACATACCCGAGCACGCACCCTCAGCACTTCATCGAAGACAACCCAGCCGGATAGGGAAACGAATAAGACAATCGCTATTTGCTGCGTCATCGCGCGCGGCGTGCCTGCGGCCATGCGCGGCACGTTTTTGATGTGCATTTCGCGATTGGAGTAGTGAAACTCATATGAATTCAAATAAAGTCAAGACTCTACGACGGACGACGTCCAGTTTTTCCATCCCTTTGACTCTCATATCCAAGTGGCCACGCTCGACAATACGTCAAGCGGGGCGCCGCTCGCCACGCCCACCTGCGAGGCAAATTGCGATTGTATTGTCATATACCAAGTTGGGTTACATAAAAAGGACGACAGGGAAATAGCTAATATTAGTGGATCAATACAAAGCTACAGAATAAAATAGAAGATTTAGTTTAATGAAAAAAGAACCTCATTCAGGAATTACACTGACCGTAATCTTCACTTTTTTGTCGGCATCGTTGGACATACGCAGTGTGGATTCTTTTATTAGAGAAATGAAATCGGATATCCGAGAATTCGTTGCCCTTTTCAATCTCATCTTTTCACGGACATCCTGAGCGTCCAACAGTTCTACAATATCGGCATATTTATGCGAATTTCTTAGAGCACAATCACACTGTCTCATTTAATTTTCCCGAGTACTCTATGAGGGCAATCCAAAGGTGTGACAACAAGATCCTCGATAGGATTGTGAGGATGCAAACCATATCGAAGACGTTCTTTGCCATGTGCGAGGTGAATGGATCCGCGGCTGCAGCAGCGTGCCCATCCTCTGCCCAGAGTGCAAGGAAACGGGGCTGGAGCGTGGTTATACCCAGATGCCGTCTCCTGAGTTCGCCCGCGCTGCCGCACGGCCAGTCACATGCCTGAACCATTGCCAAACGCGCTACTTGCCAGCGCATTCTCACTTACGGTCGCTCTCTACCTCTGACTTCGT